CCTCTGACTAGTGCGGTTGGTTACGTACGGTGCGAAAGAAGTTCAACATACATACAGCAGTATGTGCAGCAGTGATTACATTAACGTGCGTATGGAAAAAAATATTGTGACTTAATTACTGTGGGGGCAAGCCGAGACGTCGCAATTAAATCTTACGCGTGTTGCTTTTGGTATCTTATTTACCGATAGAACAGTTGGTTATAGTGTGAAATAAGTTCAGTATACTTACATACATTTTGGCCAGGGACACAGCGATATTTAACTGCATGACTTCAATCTAACAGGGCTGTATATTAGGCGACGGGTAGTTAGCACAAGCAGTGCAGATAACGATGTCTCTTCTTTGCATACTCACGTTTCTATAGCTCTAGTTGCCACTTTAAAGGACAGATCGAAAAAGCAACGATTCACAACTTGACTTCTCACAGCCCTCAACAGCTGCGGAATAAACTAGAATACAAAGTTCTAATTGACCAGCACTTGGAATCGACGTGAACTTCACAAATTGATGAACTGTCATGAATCCGGACAATAACACTGTAGTCTCTCCTATTATTTTTGTCGCATTCACTCCGTCTCATTTTGCACCGGTTCACATTTCGTTTCGTCTTGTTCTCTGCCACTTTCATAATTCGTAAATATGAATTGGTTGTTGTAATGCATGCATGGAGCGCGTGTATCGTTGCGTTACAATAATCAGTTTTAATTAAATAATTGTTGCGTCATCTCGGACCACCACGTGTGGCAACAACCCGCTGCGAGTCTCCAAACTGCCCGAGGGGCAACACTTTACAACAACGCGATCCACTCAACTTTGTGTTCAACCTTTCATCACTGTAATGAAACACAAAAAACTTATTTTTGTGATACCGCATTGGGCAGTGGTGCACGAAAATAAACAGGAGGACCCTACCGTCGGACCTTCCGGGTTTCAAGCGTCCACACTGCCAATGGTCGACCATCAACCGAATCGAGAACGGGCCAAGTGGCCGATGCGGCCACCCGATGCCACAAATGGCGCATGGAAGAATTTGGCGGCCTGCGAGCGGCGCGGCCACTAATCCCAAACCGCCGACCCACATCGTGAACACGTCGCCGCTACCGCTGCCTTCACTCCTGCAAAGGAGGAACGGACGCGAGATCCACTCTGCTTACGAACAGACAATGGAGTGGACACATTTATACTAACGCGATCTAACCCAAAAACCTTTATTATCAATATTGGTTGACGAAAGCAGACGTGTCAAATGGAGTGGATAACAACATCTAAAATCTGCTGTTATTAATCCACACGAAAGAATAAGTGGTGCACAAGCAAAAACGGCAACAAAAAACCCACATTTGTCAACAACACTGCCCTAAAAGGAAAAATATATATATAAAAGAGATGACGTATTGGGTAATGACCCTTGGTCATAGCAAGTGACAATGAAGAAGGACTATGGCCTGAAACGTCACTTGTGTAAAGATATCTTTACTTCTTTTAGGGCAACGTTATTTGACGAATGTTCATAATCGAGGTTTTTGGGATAGATCGCGTAAAAATATAAATGTGTCGTTAAACCCGCCACCACCAGACACAGCCAATTAGTAAGGGTTTGTCACGTAAACAAAACGTGCCAATTAGTTAATAGCTCAGCACACCGATGTGTTGGAGAGTAAACCCACTACAACATTTACCATACAAGCACCGTGGCGTTTCGCCGGTAATTACAACCAGTCTCATCAGGCGACAGCCAGAGTTGTGGAGAAATTCTCCTGTCTCGGTCTTAAATAGAGGGAAAAAAGTGATGTCGTCACTTGTGAGCCGATCCGGTGCGATGAGAAAAGGGTGGAGCGTTAACGTACATTCATATAAATTACAATATGAATACATTATTCACAGTTAATCAACATAATGTTGGTCGTGTTAATTTGACGAATGTGTTGAGCTTTTTTTACCTCTTCATCAAGAGTAGCTTAACAAGAGTGGAAGTGGAAGATGCCACCCCCCCCTCTTGTTGTGGGGGGGGGGGCATCTTTTCATCAATCCTTGTGGACATATTTTGGCCAAATAACAAAAAATGTGGAATTAGTGCAACCGCTATTGTTCCAACCACGGGTGCCAATACCTGTCACGGAACTGTAAAGCAAACCTGTGTTCAAACATAGATGGGAACACAATACAAAAGAGGCTCACGGGTGAAACGACGGTCAATGTGTTGGTCTAAAATCTACAAAATCAAACGAAGAAAAACAATCGCGCATTTACTGAGTATCCAGTGGCTCTCTTTTTGGTGAGCAGCACCATGCTCACAAAAGCATACGGTGGGTAGGGCGTCCATTCCAAATCGGCCGGCCTGAAACAAAGGTGGAAATCCCACCATGCTATGGTAGGAACCAGTGTTTCCACAGGCCGACTGATTGACCGCAGAACTGGACGTATGTTGAACTTCTTTCGCACAGTACGTAGCCATCCGTGCTAATCGGAGGTGCGGGGGGAAGGACAAACTAAACAAAAGAGCAGTTCTACAGAAATTAGTTTTCAATCGAGATTATTTAAAAGTGCATAGCTCCAGTGGCATCTTAACATCGGAAGGAAGAGCGCATCTGACTTCTTTGTTCGATGGCCGAGCAAACAAAGCCGCTACTGCGAGGCTGACCGAAGTTCGCGTGACAGTCTATGCTCCTTGACAGGAATATTTTTGATGTTTTTTTCTTTCCTGTATTTTCTGTTTGCACAGTCACATAATCACTTTAAGATGTTTTCTTGTTCATGTTTTTTGTTTGTTGCGGTTGCACCCGATTCAAGAGCCAGAATGGCTCACAGGGCTATACCAAATAAATGAACTATGAACTAACTATGACAAGGTGTGTCCTTCCGCCAATTAAGTGACCTCTCATCTAGACACTGCATCAGGCACGCAAATTATTCCGAGTCCACCTAAGGGAATTTCCAGGCCAGACTGAGAAACTGAATGACACCAGTGATGAGATTGGAGCCAAGACTGCCAGTAGTGTAAATGCGTGCCGTGTGATAACCACACATGCACACGTGAATATGCATTTACACATGTGAGCAGACACGTAAACAACAACATATGTAAAGTGAACAGCCTGTAAGTGCAGAGAAAGATTCCGTTTGTGCACCACACCAGGTACTTCTTGCCTAAAATAACATCAAGAATTCACATTTATGTAACCCCATACAACTGTCAGGACTGGCTCAGAAACCAGTTCCACCTAGGTTGCTTGCGCAGTGTGCTAGCGAACCACTGCACCAACGCTCCAAACGCGTTTACAAATTTTAAAATTACAGCCCAAATTACTCCATTGGAATATACACAGCAATCACCACCACCAAATGGCAACACTTGGCAGGACCCTCGTGAAACCGAGAGTAACGATGCTCGTCGAGGCTTTCCCGGGTTAAACAAGTGGAATAATAAGAATAAATAAAGAACACACGCGTGCACAACGATCGACAGGCCAAACAGCAGCGGCTGGAACAGCAGCAACGGCAAGCAGCGGCTGGAACAGCAGCAACAGCAGCAGCTGGAACAGCAGCAACAGCAGCAGCTGGAACAGCAGCAGCAGCTGGAACAGCAGCAGCAGCTGGAACAGCAGCAGCAGCTGGAACAGCAGCAACAACAGCAGCTGGAACAGCAGCAACAGCAGCAGCTGGAACAGCAGCAACAGCAGCAGCAGGAACATCAGCAACAGCAGCAGCAGCTGGAACATCAGCAGCAACAGCAGCAGCAGCTGGAACATCAGCAGCAACAGCAGCAGCAGCTGGAACATCAGCAGCAACAGCAGCAGCAGCTGGAACATCAGCAGCAACAGCAGCAGCAGCTGGAACATCAGCAGCAACAGCAGCAGCAGCTGGAACATCAGCAGCAACAGCAGCAGCAGCTGGAACATCAGCAGCAACAGCAGCAGCAGCTGGAACATCAGCAGCAACACCAGCAGCAGCTGGAACATCAGCAGCAACACCAGCAGCAGCTGGAACATCAGCAGCAACAGCAGCAGCTGGAACATCAGCAGCAACAGCAGCAGCTGGAACAGCAGCAGCAGCTGGAACAGCAGCAGCAGCTGGAACAGCAGCAGCAGCTGGAACAGCAGCAGCAGCTGGAACAGCAGCAGCAGCTGGAACAGCAGCAGCAGCTGGAACAGCAGCAGCAGCTGGAACAGCAGCAGCAGCTGGAACAGCAGCAACAGCAGCAGCAGCTGGAACAGCAGCAACAGCTGGAACAGCAGCAACAGCAGCAACAGCTGGAACAGCAGCAACAGCAGCAGCTGGAACAGCAGCAACAGCAGCAGCTGGAACAGCAGCAACAGCAGCAGCTGGAACAGCAGCAGCAGCTGGAACAGCAGCAGCAGCTGGAACAGCAGCAGCAGCTGGAACAGCAGCAGCAGCTGGAACATCAGCAGCAGCTGGAACATCAGCAACAGCAGCAGCAGCTGGAACAGCAGCAACAGCAGCAGCAGCTGGAACAGCAGCAACAGCAGCAGCAGCTGGAACAGCAGCAACAGCAGCAGCAGCTGGAACAGCAGCAACAGCAGCAGCAGCTGGAACAGCAACAACAGCAGCAGCAGCTGGAACATCAGCAGCAACAACAGCAGCTGGAACAGCAGCTGGAACAGCAGCAGCAGCTGGAACATCAGCAGCAACAGCAGCAGCTGGAACAGCAGCAACAGCAGCAGCAGCTGGAACATCAGCAGCAACAACAGCAGCTGGAACAGCAGCTGGAACAGCAGCAGCAGCTGGAACATCAGCAGCAACAGCAGCAGCTGGAACAGCAGCAACAGCAGCAGCAGCTGGAACATCAGCAGCAACAACAGCAGCTGGAACAGCAGCTGGAACAGCAGCAGCAGCTGGAACATCAGCAGCAACAGCAGCAGCAGCTGGAACATCAGCAACAGCAGCAGCAGCTGGAACAACAGCAACAACAGCAGCAGCAGCTGGAACATCAGCAGCAGCAGCTGGAACAGCAGCAACAGCAGCAGCAGCAGCAGCTAACCTCGCTTCCTCCAGCAGGAGCCCTCGCGGACGGAGTAGCTCAGCTCGTGGAACTCGAGCTCGAGTGCGGGCCGACGGGGCAGGTGCGAGAGGCGCTGTGCCTCCGTGATGTGGTTCTCCACCTTCTTGAGGTGCGTGGCGAGCAGCGGCACGTCGGGCGCCGCCGCCGCCGCCGCCGCGCCGCCACCGGCCATCGCCGACGGCGGCAGCGGGCATGCGATGGGCTCCATCGCCACGTTCACGTGCTCGCCCTCCTTCTCCATCTTCACGCCCAAGCTCTGCGGAGGCACGGGCAACCGCACCGTCAGGGTCTCCTCTCCGTATCACTCACTCTCTCTCTCGTCGTCGTCATCCTGCCAAAGCAACCGACTTGCTGACAACTTAAACTAAACTATTTTTATTTTTTGATTTAAAGCTTTCGTGACTGCAGTAATTCATATTCTTAGTTTTTTCGGTAAAGTCACGTTGAAGAGAAACAACAAAATAACAAAATATATATAAAACAATAAAAAATTCTCACGACGTTTCGACCATAACTCAAACGGTCGTGATAATTTTTTATTGTTTTATATATATATTTTGTTATTTTGTTGTTTCTCTTCAACGTGACTTTACCGAAAAAACTAAGAATATTTTTATTTTTTCAAGGTAAGGCCCACTGAGCTATATAGCTCTTTTTTCAGAAGCGACCTGAATATCAAAAATGATAGCTTAACGAAGTGGCTTATCACGTGGACATTTCCCGCAGTAAAATACTGGAAAGACATGTCGATTTTAAATGTGGAGGAGAAAAAACACGCAAACTCCAAATATACAGACGTCAGGGTAAAGATGGAACCCACGACCTCCTGCATACCAGGTGAGGTAGTTAACATCTCACCATTGCGGCACACGTGGCGACAGCGCGCGTAGGCGACGCGTTTCTGAACGAGTTCCTGTTCCTACGCCACCGTGTGACTCACCACGGAGGGGAGACGGCAGAAAACGTGGGCTGCTGCTGCTGCAGGACAAACTGGGTCTCACGCCGAGACTTCGACGGCTACATGTTTTGACCACTCCGTCGTGACCCGGTAGACAAATCGTTTCGTGTTTAGTGGGGGGGGGGGGGGGACATTGAAAATAAAAAAAAAACATTAAAATAATAATATTCTTATGTTTAGTAATAGTCAATAAAGAAGAGGGTGGTAACAAACCAATCTGATATGGACTTTGTTTTAAGGTGGTCACAGCATGTCTGGTCTCAACAACCAAACCTAATTTACATTATTGCCTCATTTGGCGGAAAAACTATTACATATTTAACCATGGCTACAATTTTGGTCCGGCGGTGAAGTGAAATCTTGATAACGGCTGTAAAAACACACGAGGTTAGACACTTGTACATATATATGTTGAACTTCTTTTCGCACCGTACGTAGCCATCTGCGCTAACTGGAGGTGCCTCGGGAAGAACAATAAACTACACACAAAAAGCAGTTCGAAAGCAATAAGTTTTCTAACCTCGATCTAACAGTGCATAGCTCCAGATGCTTCCTAATATCGGAGGAGTGTTGCGGAAGCCCGCAGAAGCGCATCTGAAAGCGCGCGATGAGGTTGACCGTCTTTGCTCGACGGTCAACCAAAAACAGCCGCTGCGAGGATGAACGGAGCTCGCGCGATGGTTCATGCTCCTTGACGAGATCAGCAAAGGTGACAAAATCGAAGCTTTAGCATACCACGCACCCTTTTGACTTTTTACACGTACCCTTTGTTAAGATTTGTTTTGCATTCATATCAGCCGACCGAAATGGGACCCTTCGCATTAACGGCGCTTTCACATCAGAGAAGTGCACATTCTGTGCCACCCTTCGCAAGGGAAACGGCTGGCTTTTGCATTCATGCACCCCTTCACAAAGGGTTACAATAGGTGTAAAAATATCAAACATCCACAATTTCCCTTTAATACAGCGAAAGATGCATTTGTCAATGTTTCTGCATGAGAGCGCATACATGTATAATGGTGTGAAGCAGGGAAACTTGGCATTTTTGGTGAAAGATCACTGTTGACCATCTGCTCAAAGGGCTAACTTTAGCACGGCAGACAGTTGTGGATTGCAGTTGGATGCGGTTCCTGTAATCAAAGGGTGAATGTGGTTCAAATAGTTCGGAACGACTTGATTTTGAAGCAAACATAACTCGTGGGTTGATCACACCTCCGATTAGCACGGTTGGCTACGTAAGGTGCGAAAGTTCACATACATACGATCGTTGAAATACTTTTTACACACTTTCTTTTTACTCACTCTGTCTGTAGTTGTATCTTCAAATCTTGTAACTCAATTTTAACCCACTTCCCAATGTGGCATTGACTTTAAACTTGGTATACTTATGTCATACTGATAACAATACTATATTCTATCATAAAACATTTTAATTTTTAAATATTTTTTTTCATGTTATGTTTCGGCTTGGGTCTAATTGTCCACGCTCAACTGACGTTGGCTGCAATTGGCCACGGTCCCCTTATGTTGTGGCAAGCTTCATGGCCACTTTCTGGAGTCGCGGAGTTCTGCTATTACTAGTACATTTCATAAAAGCGTGTTTAAAAAAAGTTTTTAAAAATATTACTTATTAAAAATATATAACTCTAAAACTGTTAATGTACCATTTTTCGCCACAATAGGATTTCTAACAATAAGCAAAGAGTACCGTAATGTACACGTTTAGAAAAGGGATTCAATTTAAAAAAAAACTAATTTTAAACTGCAGTCGTTAAATAAATAAAAAGTTGCATATATCATGAATAATAAATACGTGTGGCAGCATCTTGCATGGGATATTTCATCAAGCAGTGGATTGAACATGGACGATGACAAAAAGTACAACTTAATATTCAATGGAAAGAAACCAGTCAGTGCATTAATTACAACCTAAAATCTTAAAATACGAGTGGTAATGAATGACTCTCGTCCAGAAATAGCTCAAGGTAGCACACTGTGTATCACCCCTTCTGTAAACACACCAATTGGCTGAAAACATTTGAATATTCTCGAAATGTGCGTTTAATAATATTTGGCTGCTATACATTTCCACTTAAGCTACTTCGTTGAGCTATCATTTGTGGCCTGGTCGTTTCTGAAAAAGAGCTAGATAGCTCTGTTGGCCTTACCTGGTAAAAGTAAAAATTGCTTTCAGTTTTTTTTGTTTAATATTATAGAGAAGTGCAGAGCAATAATTGGCACCGGCTCATTGCCTCGAGGCCTTCCAGCTTGTCGTGTGGTTCTTCAGCTATTGTGAGAATTCAATTTGCATGAACGACCATTATATGAGATTTTTATTTTATTTTTAGACCCCAATGCTGGGGTAAGGCAGCGCTTTATACAGACTTAAATATTTGCCACACTTTTATATATAAGAAAATAAATGAGGGGGGGGGCACGGAAATGACTACATAAAAGAAGCTTTCACGTTGCTTTTGCCAGGTGTCGTGCGTACCTGATCATTCGCTAAAGATGTTACTTAAGGATTTATCAGATGAGCTAAGCAGGTGGGAATTTGCTCTCCAACACACCGGCGTGCTGTACAAGCAACGAAATGGCATGTTTTGTTTGCGTTACTAAACCTCACAAATTGGCTGTGTCGGGTGGTAGCGGGTTTAATGACATGTATATATTAACGCGATCTAACCCAAAAAACCCTGTGTTAAGGATGACATTGGTCACAAAAGCCTACTATGTGTTTAAACAGGGGTGCACCTGGTGAGCACGTGGATGGGTGACCACCAGGGCTCGCTCGGTAGTGTAGGCATTGATTAGGTCACCTCTGAAAAGCGCTAATAGCTCAGCGGTTTCGCATGGTAAAAACTAAATTTCGTTTAGTTTATAGTTTCATATATTAGACGTGCAATTTTTTTCGCACAAGAGACTTTTTTATGGACGTTATTTCCCAGGTAACTGCTGGTCCGTTTTTTTTCCTTCCAAAATGTCCCCCAATGCTTGAGGTGCGTGCCTTACTTTAAAATACAGAGAATACGGTACATCTCCTTAAATGTTGTCAAGTCGTTACGGGAGAGCGGGAGAAGAGGCAAAACACTCACAAAACATGTCTCTCTAAATAGTGCGTTCAGAGTACGGGGAACCCTCCTCGCCTTGAACGCGGTTTTAACGAACGCAGCTTTGCCCAACGCGGCATTTTCCAGGAACGTAACCAGCCACCCCCACCGCCCCACGTTCAGCGAGGTTTTCCTGCACTGCATACAGGGTTTGAATACATTGAGCACTTTGTGATGGCAACGAGGTAGCAAAAACAAATTGTTGTTGCAAACAAGGTCTCCCAAAAGGCCGTGGGGTCGAAGAGCAGTCAAAACGTTTGCCGACTAGGCACTCTCATTACAGCATTGGGCCGAGTTTGGCTGTGAAAAGAGACGTCAGGAGACGAGGAAGGATTCCACGGGGGAGTGATAACGAGCAGAAGAATCCTGGCCACGTGGGACAACCGCGGCTAGAAACGAGAGGGTTTGCGGAGGTCACACGAGGGCACGCCGCAGCTAGCAAGAGGTCCTCCCGTATACCGTTTGCTTCCTCTGTTATTGTTGGAGGGTTGTCATTGGTGGGTTGAGGGTCGGACATAATTAGTACATCGGTACCATTTGGGGATAAAGCAATGTTCTGCGCCTTCAAGTTTCGGAGCCATTTGCAACAGATGCGGATTATTAAATAAGTAGATTTATGGGGCGCCACGGTGGTCAGATGTTCACTACCTCACCTGGTATGCAGGAGGTTGTGGGGTTCGATGCCAACCCAGTTCTTCCCCGTGGTGGCATGGATTTTTCTCTGGGCCCTCCGGTTATTTCCCCTCCACATTTAAGAAACACGCACTTAAAAGAGTATTTGGCTGATACAAATTTTCCACACGACGATAAGCCACTCCGTTGAGCTATCATTTGTGGTGACCAGGTCGCTTCTGAAAAAATAACTATATATAGCTCAGTAGGCCTTACCTGGTAAAACAACAAAAAACGCATAATAATAATGGTGTTTAGCTGTTGGGAGTCGACACGGCCCTTTCGTGGAGGTGGAATGTGCCGATCAATAATGTAGCCCCTCTCACCCTTCTTGAAAGCTCTCCAAACCCCGGTTGGCTCGAGAGCACTGGCTGAAGAAGCCGGGAGAGGGCCCACATGAGCACATTACGCCTATACCACGCGTGGACGATTTAGTCCACGTGCAAAGAAAGAAAGCATTCGGTGTTTAGTTACCACGCCTACGCACATCGGTTCAGGTACCACCCTTTCCAACCTTGACTGAGGCCTTGCCTCTACACGAGAGATGGAGAGCTATGCATTTCATTTTTTTTTGGGAAGACACGTTAGTCACTTTGCGTTATAATTTAACGTGTCTTTTTTTACCCGAACGGCATGCAATATCGCTTTTTGCAACGTCGTGAAAGAGATATCACTTCCTTTGACGTAATTATTATCGGTTTGATTCGTAATCATCATTTTTTGGATCATCCAAAAATGTTGTTTCTCGGCACCAAATGTAACCGATCTGAACAATCCGAACATCAGGAGCACATCCTGAATATCCGTACATGGAAGAGGGCAAAGCATTCCCGCTTGCCATTCAGGGCAGCACAGAACCGATTTAACACTTCATGTAACGCGGAAGGCGCGGAAGACAACGCCGTTATAACGCTGTACGCTCCCGTTACAATGCGGAAGGCGCGCGCCATAACGAGGTACGCGCGCCCCATAACGAGGTACGCGCGCCGTTATAACGCGGTTTCAGAGCGGCTGACGACGAACTACTTTTTTGTACAGATCAGTACAATTCCCGAATAGATTCCCTGATAGAACAGTTAACAGTGCAGTGCAGTGCGGTATGCGAATTTCCACTTCTTGCCGTACAAAAAACCGGGATACAGTGTATCATCATGGGAAGTAGAACTTCAGACATCACCACACCCTGCGACTTTTTCTTGTGGGGATACGTCAAAGAGCGTGGTGTTTTTGTGCCACCATTAGCGACTTATCTGGATGACCTCAAAAACAGAATCACGGCAGCGGTGATTTCAGTGGAAGAAGCCACTTTGAGAGGCGTTTGGGACGAATTCAACTATCGTCTCGATGTTGTCGATACAGCAGGTGGAGGGCACATAGAGCATTTATAAAATGGTTAGTAAAACTTCATAACTCATTAAAAAACCGTTTGTAACTTTGTGTAATTGTAACATGTTGCCATCGTGAAATATACTGCTTTGAAATTGGGTCAATCTTTTTGAAACACCCTGTATTTAATTGTTCTCGAAAGACTTATTGATTTCCAGCAAAAGCAATCTCAGGTAGAAAACGATCCTGGGAAAACCAGGACAGGTGATCATCTATTAAGTAGAGGTGTTATTTTTTTGGTACAGAATGTGCACATTTAAATTATACATAGAGATACCTTTAAATCGCTTATCTCCATTCTTTGCCTTTCAGGCAAGTTAATGGTTTGCGTGAAACTCCTTACCAAATTCTAGATCTCACTTTGCGATTGCTAGACAACACACCAGCTATGTTCGGTCACGAGGCCTATAGACGCAGTACGACTCACAGCAGACATTCAAAGCACGAGAAAGTAGCAATTCGGTTGTCTTGTACGCATAAGGAACGTGAAAACAACTGATGACAAACCAAAGTCAGTTTAACACATATTGTAAACAAACCAAAGTGTGATAACTTATTCGGAATTATTGTCCGCATGCAACACTACTGCATTAAGAAACACATGCACGCCCACACACAGGCAGGCACACCTTTCACCGAGTGACAAGTGCACATTTAACTGAGGGAAAAAAGTATTTTATCCCCTGCTGATTTTGTGCGTTTGCCCACTGACAAAGAAATGATCAGTCTATAATTTGAATGGTAGGTTTATTTGAACAGTGAGAGACAGAATAACAACAAAAAAATCCAGAAAAACGCATGTCGAAAATGTTATAAATTGATTTGCATTTTAATGAGGGAAATAAGTATTTGACCCCTCTGCAAAACATGACTTATACTTGGTGGCAAAACTTGTTGGCAATCACAGAGGTCAGATGTTTATTTTAGTTGGCCACCAGGTTTACACACATCTCAGGAGGGATTTTCAACCGGACTATGCGTTAATTGTGTTTTGACCGACCGTCTGTGTTGCTTTACATGGTTTCCAAAAATTTTGCTAAACCCTGTTTGTCTGGTATGCTTCTCTGTGTCCCCTGTTGTATCTGTGTCAGTTCCCCCTACTTGGGTGTCTGTATATACATCTGAGGTTATGTGGCTCCCCTCTCTCATAATTTAGCTCTTCTGTACCTGATGGCTGCTTGTGTTGCAACCGAAACGTCGTACGCTATTATGTTATTTTATTATTTCTTATTTATGCGTGACTTTACCGAAAAAACCAAAGAGTATGCCCGTCTGAAGCTTGCCAATGAACATCTGAATGATTCAGAGGACAACTGGGTGAAAGTGTTGTGGTCAGATGAGACCAAAATGGAGCTCTTTGGCATCAACTCAACTCGCTGTGTTTGGAGGAGGAATGCTGCCTGTGACCCCAAGAACACCATCCCCACCGTCAAACATGGAGATGGAAACATTATGCTTTGGGGGTGTTTTTCTGCTAAGGGAACAGGACAACTTCACCGCATCAAAGGGACGATGGACGGGGCCATGTACCGTCAAATCTTGGGTGAGAACCTCCTTCCCCTCAGCCAGGGCATTGAAAATGGGTCGTGGATGGGTATTCCAGCATGACAATGACCCAAAACACACGGCCAAGGCAACAAAGGAGTGGCTCAAGAAGAAGCACATTAAGGTCCTGGAGTGGCCTAGCCAGTCTCCAGACCTTAATCCCATAGAAAATCTGTGGAGGGAGCTGAAGGTTCGAGTTGGCAAACGTCAGCCTCGAAACCTTAATGACTTGGAGAAGATCTGCAAAGAGTGGGACAAAATCCCTCCTGAGATGTGTGCAACCCTGGTGGCCAACTACAAGAAACGTCTGACCTCTGTGATTGCCAACAAGGGTTTTGCCACCAAGTACTAAGTCATGTTTTGCAGAGGGGTCAAATACTTATTTCCCTCATTAAAATGCAAATCAATTTATAACATTTTTGACATGCGTTTTCTGGATTTTTTTTGTCGTTATTCTGTCTCTCACTGTTCAAATAAACCTACCATTAAAATTACAGACTGACCATTTCTTTGTCAGTGGGCAAACGTACAGAATCAGCAGGGGATCAAATACTTTTTTCCCCTCAATGTATTTCGCACAGTACGTAGCTAACCGTGCTAATCGAAGGTGCAGCGGCAGTGGTGGTGAGGGGAGAACACACAAACGTGTGCGAGTTTACAGAGTGTTTCAAGCAAAGCTCTGGCGTGATACCGTTGCACCGACGACCAATAAATGTCGCTATACACTCACCTCTACAGGTGCGAGTCTCGGTCCAATTACAGCACCTGGAGGGCACCGTGTGGCTGGAGACTGCTCACGCACACAGCAAACCCTGTCGTCTCACGCCGTGTCTGCAACACACTGTATACTAACTACCGCGACTTCTACGAGAGCACCGTTGGGGACTTAGTTTACTGGGATGACCTTGACGCCAACATTCAGCCGCACAGCTTTCTTCGTGGGACAATTACGTTAAGCCAAGCCCTCAACGTCCAACGCACCCACAATCAACAGAAAGCTAATTAGCGTATACTTATGCGTCAGCTCCAAATGCGCTAAATAAGGAATACTTTGCGGCTGGTAGCGTGTGTGCGTGCGCGCAAGCTGTACATCGATATTAAATATTCATGCCTGCCTCAAGGCTCAAGGCTGGCTGGATGGATTGCTGGTGCTTGGTGGGGGTGGGAGAGATGCAGAGGACTGGAAGAGGCGGTCGTGACATCATCTGCTGGGGAGTGCGCAGTGGCAGGGTGGCTGCTGTTTGCCTTGTGATGTCAGATTTGAAAATGCAGCCCACCCTCTCGCACAGCTCCTCGCGAATACCCACACGGCAACCACAACCGCGCTCGCTCCGTCGCATGCAGGCACAAAAGACAAAGATTCCCAACCGTGTAGCCCTAGCAGACTTTTGGGGGCAAGTGCTGTTTCGCGAGTGGCACCCACTAAGGTCGGCACGTCCACACGGGTGGGTCGGGTGGGTGGGTGGCCATCAACCACGCCCGGCCACCGGTGTCTCCCTAGTGGTGATATTCACACATCGCACCAAGGTACTCATTTGAGGCCGAGTCGACCTGGGGGAGGCCCAGGACCGGCTCAGATAATCGTCACTGGTGTTGGCCATAGAGTGGGAATGGAACACAGGTGGCCAGGTTTGTCGTGCAGCGCACTAACCGCTACACTACCGCTCCCCACCTGCAAGCAAACACACAACACCTCTGCCATCCTCAGCGCGCCGCTCTCTGACTAAAGGCTGTAGAGGCATGGTGGGGTAGGTCTCACTGTCTGTAAAAATATTTGAGCTGAAAGCCTTTTTACAGATTAATACATGGTGCTTCAAATAAATGTTAACACATCCGAGAATTTGCAAAAATACCACGAGAAATGTGCTTCCGGGCTCTGGACACCACCTGAAGAAGATTCCAGGCACGTGTTGACAATGATGGCGAAGAAGTGGAGACTCTTTGACTTTTTGAAGCTATTAACATACATTTGTTATCATTATCCATTCTTTTTCTATTAAAACCGATAGTCCCACGTAAGTGTTAACATTTTTTTAAGCACCCTGTATTTGCAAGTGAAATTAGTTTGTATGACAAGGGGAAATACTTGGACCGGTTTACACGGTCACAAATTTTGTAACGGCCAGCCAGGGCTGTTTTTTGGAAACGCGATGCCACTACATGCGCCGATTGTCGGTGGCAGGAGACGGATGAAACGGTACTTCCACTCTTTTCTGTGATCAACGCAAGGAAGACATCGTGCACATGAAATGGCTTTTAGTAGCGCTTTCCAACGTGCATTTTGTCCTCGGAAGAACGCACAGTTGTTTAATTGGTAACCGCAGTTTAAACAGGTCCCTGCAGGGTGGGCTGGTAGGACAAGTCTCTGCGCTGTCTATTGCTGATTTTACACCCAACAGCACGACATTATATTCTTAGCTCTTTCGGTAAAGTCACGATTAGTATTGAAAGGGGACGGACGGACACATTCATCTATTGCAGGCTGGTACACTCAGTTTACAACTTCGTTCCTACCAGTATTAGCAACAATAACGGCCGCGCTCGAGTCTGCAGTGTCAGAAGCAGTGTGGAGGGAAGTGCACCTCTGTCGGCAAAGGGTCGACTGGTGAAGGGGAGGAGCACGTGGAATCGATTCGTAATTTACCCTTGTTGTTAAGGCAGTGTGCCGTATTTAGCTCAATTACACGAGCGAGATGAATGGTGGCATCGCAAGGCTGAGCAATGCCGCATAACGTGGCTAGGTCTTCCTCCAACAGTGCCATGGGCGACTGATGATGTTATATAGCAGCCTTTTAGCGCTGGTTTTTTTCTCTCTCTCTCTCCATATTTTATGTCCACATAGCAGGGGAGATTGTGTGTAAGGTCGGTATCCCATAGCAACAAAACATTAACTTTTTTTAAATCAAATTTTATAATTGTTAGGAAATTTAGCATGCCACCCACCCCCCCCCCCCCCAAGAATTAGTTGAACATTGTACATGCCAAAATGTATTGTTAGTAATGTATTACAAATAAGAGTCGTTTTTCAAGTTTTCGCAGTTGACGTCAATGTCTTCTGGTTAGATTCCAATTCAGTATTTTGGGGATTATTATGCAAATGCGGACCATGATGGCGACACACAGAGGCCCACTCTTGTGAACAACGTCACAGTATCTTTGACATCCACTGTAAATCAGAAGGGCGTGTATTTTTGTGTGGTTAAAATAACTGCAGTATTAAATCAGGGCGGCCATTAGATTAGAACCGTGGACATCTGCAACAAGTGGTGAGTGCACTACCGCCATGCCATGTTTCTAGTCACCCTTCCCCGTTCCGATGACGTTCGTGTACCTTATCAGCATTTCTTCCGATTCTGTTCTGATTACGTACGTTGACGTCATCGGAATCGATTCTGAATGGAATCGGAAGTCAAATTGCCATGCGGGAGGGGGGTGTGTGGCACAATTGGGCGCCAGCTACCTTAGAATGCGGTCGTGTCGCTACAGTTCTCTGCGGTGAGTACAGTACAATGTCTTTAAAAACAGCGTCGCTACGCCTCTCCAAATAAAACTAACGCCAACCGCTTGCACGTTCCGAGATTCAGCGGTGAACGGGACCCACCCTGCAACTTGCAGACGTCCCGGAATGGGAAAGGGTTAAAAACATGTGAAGTATTTTCCAGGTGTGCCCAAAGAGGGGGGGGGGGGGGCAAAAGGAGACTTTTTCCACAGGCGCCACACAAGGAGGCCCCACAACCGACCTCATTTTTGCCGGCTTAATAAGGGGCCCCCCCCACGTGACATTCTACCCAGGCCCTATCCAGCCTGGGGCCACCAACAACCTCGGGGCGGTCCTGGTAATTACAGTCACAAACATTTACACATTTGAACAATGGACATGTCAGGTCTTAATTACTGTAATTTAGTCCTGCATTGTATTGTTTAGCTTCATTTAGCATATTATACCAAACACCTGCACAGTATATCTGCCAATGTAACCACAATGGTCTAATTCCAAACACTGTTATTTATGTTATTCCGTCGAAAGTTTAAGAGATATTTAATATTTCTGTACCCTATGTCAGCGTAAATGTTGTGAAATATTAATTGTGAATAGGGCACGAGGCTGAGAGTCACGTGCTATGTTCTCTTTTGCACCTCACCGCCTGGGTCATGTTCTCAGTATTTTCTGCATTCGGGCGGAGGAGAACTGGAATGTCTGGCGTAAACTCACACGTACGACGGTAAAGCAACCAAATTTAGCTCGCATATAAACGACCTTTCTGTACTTCCTTCCATCCTACAGGTGCAGTTAATTGTGGCTATGTAGCTGCTATGCATACGGTGACTCGTAACCATTACAAGGCAGAGGTGCAGTAGAAGCCCTTGAGTCTACATCTTCCCTCTCATCTCCTTCAGGGGAGCAGAATGAGATGAGAGGGAAGATGTAGACAGAGGCGAGTCCACGTAGGATCTTGAAGTTGGCGATTCAGTTTCGTACAAATTTGTCATGTTAAATTCCATCTTTATAGTCTTTTTTTTTAACCATTGTGCTTCTTGTACGAAAGAAGAGTACTGTGGGTTGCTCAGTTGCAGTTCACTCAACATAAGCCAGCTGCCACTAGGCGTATAATCATTGTAACTGTACAATCTATATCGCTCATAAAAAGCACACGCAAGTGCCAGTTAAAGAAATGTTCAATTCATCTAATGAACTACGGAAATGACGATGACGTCTTAAAACTACAGGAAACGTTTTAGAAAGCATTGCGTTCATGAGTAGCGGCTACTTTCTTTTACCATTTCATAATTGCCTCCGTGGTCTTGAACTATTGCTGATCCAGACATTTTTGTCAGGAAATAAAATCAAATGTTAACAACAAAACGAGCAATGCCAATCACGATACGACGATATTTCAGCAACAAACTGACGACAATACGACTATCGTTGACCTCGTATCGTACGACGTTGCCGAACTTTCTCTTGGGGGAAACGTTTCAATATCGCAGTGTATCCTTACCACAACAGCCCCCATGTCAAATTCGGTGTGACCGGTGCTTGTGCGGCCAAGGGGTAGGTTTAGGAGGGCCGACGACTATCTGCCACCTGCCATACTGCGCTCGCACGACCCATGTGGAGAGGGACTGAGAGCGGGGGAGGTGTGGTGGGTGGATCGGCCACTCAACGGCACGGAGTGGAGTTTGTCTGTACCCAGCAACTTGCGATTCTGAAAACACACCGGTTGAGAAGCACCGCTGTGGGCTGCCGAGCGGTGTTCTTCATTGCAAGGCCCGCTGGCCACTGGCGGATTCTGGGTGGCCTTTGGTGCGGCCCCCCAACAACACACAAATATGAAAACACGTCCCCGTCCCCACTGCCACCATCACCGTACTCCTGTCAAACCCCCCACCACCACCAATGGTTTCAATTGTGTGGCGGACCTCACACCGACGATGTCTTATCGGCGAAAGTGTGGCCCTCTCCTCTGGAAACGAGTGAAGGACACCGACGTGGATGAGTGCGCCCTGGCCTGGCTGGGAAATATTTCCAAGGGGGCATTTAATGAAACGTGAAACAATAAAACAAAATGTGAGCTACGAACCTTCCTCCCTTCAAGGCCCTACCACGTTTACAGAAGCGACAGTTTCACAGACCTCTGCAATGTATTAAGCGCAACAAATGAACAACACCGCAATTCTGCGATGTTATTGAACAAAAAAAATGTTATGATGTCAAGGATTGACGATATCAATTCAGTAAGAACACAGTGCCGAAACGTGGTACTGTACAGTATTACATTAGGACTTGGCAGTTGTGTGGATTAAACCACACGGATGTATGTTGACAAATACTGAACGGCAATGCGTTGCTGTATCATTGATGAGCCCATCAATAACCGATAACCATCAATGAAATGTCATGATTTCACTGGAGGAATGCGAGGCTTTATAGCTCTCAATACAGGAAGCGCAGCATTGCACTGCAGTCTCGTCGCAGTAAAACGTTTCGTTACAATACAAAAAAAACAACAATAAGGTAGTAATGATGATCAAAACGATGGCCACTTTCTTTCCAATATAATTCCAGAACAAGGCCAATTATATTATCTAATTATCGTGCCGTACGCAACCATCAATCTCAAAGCGGTACTGTGCTGTATTGTACAGTATTGTACTGTATATATATAAGACGCTGTAATTCACAATTACCTCATGTAAATGTACACATCATCATCATCCTGATGGATGAGTACATGACCGATGACTGTCCATGTCATTGGTTACGGCTTAATAATAAATTCCGCACACAATCACCGCGATAACGGCATACAAAGATTTACCGCTGGTGATTCGCTTATTATTATTAATCTATTACTTCTGCATTGCTGTTTTTTTTTAAACGTGTTATACAAGTGAACGCTGACGATTTACTCCACGAGGTGT